ACGTAGATATTTCGTCTAAGTCTTCTTTTTGCTTCTTTGTCCAGGTGCTTCCACATTGCTTCCTTCAAATAGGTGGATTTACCTGTATTTTTCCCTTTAGAGTAGCTGAGTGTTGGGTTTCATACTCTATTGGGTAACAAGGGTGACAAACTATACACCTAATCTTCTATCTTCAAGTAGATGCTCCATGCTATTTACACTAGTTCATTTTCCTGTGATGGTGACGTAGAGATCTAAGTATTTTCTCTTATTTTGACATTAGATGCCTCAACTCAGGTAGATGGTGTTTACCAGTATCATTTCCCTTTGGAGCAACTAAGTGTTGGTTTGTATGCCTTGTTGAGTGTCAAGGATGGTAAACTTGTACCGTCTAGGCTTTGGGATCCATGTGAATGTTCCATGTCGTTTCTTTTAGTTTCTACATCTGAATATTCCCTTTTGCTTCAGCAGTGTAGATGTCTCCATATTTCTTCTTTCGGGTAGATGGTGTTTACTTGTGTCCTTGCCCTTTGGAGTAGCTGAGCATTGGATTACGTGCTCCATTGGGTGACAAGGATGGTAAAATGTACCATCTAGGCTTCCAACTTGATGTAGATATCCCATGCTACTTCTGCATATTTTATGATAGTGTGACTTTATTCATTGTTTGTTAAAGAGGGAGTATATTCTAAGCTCAACATCTATAGGCTGGACTGATATTTGAGGCTTCAGTCGGCCCAATGCTAGTTTTGGGTTTAGCAATTGATGGAGGACCATCCTTGAAGACACATGTGGGCCCCATCACTAGGTCCATGGCTAGGAGAGTTGAAGAGGAGGAGGGAGTTCACACACCAAGGGACACTCTCCTCATGATCATAGAGTATTAGTGCTCTCCTAAGCCTCATTAATTTAGGATTTATTTTATTTTCCATTTTTACCCTTGTATTTTGGGGTATTTTAGTCATAGGATTTATTTCTTTGTATTTCCCATTTTACCCTTGTATTATGGGGTGCTTTAGGTGATTAGGTTTTTAATTTGGGCTAGGGTATCACATTAGGAGGTGACGCCTATTTTTGGTGAAGCATTGGATGTATTTTTGGTGATAGAAAGGCTTAGGCCCAAGTGGAGGGCAAAGGTTGCATGGTCTTATCATGCACCTAGATATAGCCAATCTAAACCCATAGATTCCATCCTTGGCCACCAAGTTGCATCTAGGGTTTATTTACATTTCATTTGGAGTGCATTAGCCATATGAATTTCGGCCATGCACATCTCAAATGAAACCCTAGATGCCTCCCCTCCTATAAATACCCAACACCCCACCACTTGTAAAGACTTTGGATTATATGAATTTGAGAGAGCATTTTCTTGCCTCAAATCCTATCCTTAGTCCCTAGGTTAGTTTCGGCTAGCTTCCTTCATTCTCCACCCTTGGAGAGTGAAACCCTAGAGTGGCCTCCACCTACACTTGGAGTGAGCCAACTTGAGCAACCATACACCAACCTTTCTAAACACTTCCGCCCAAACACCTCCTATTCACGCCTATCTTCATTCCTTCACCATAACCCTCCCTTTATCTACCCTTTGGTGAGCTTAGATCAAGGGCAAGGTCTCCTCCCTTCACACTCTACATCAATCATGGAAGGAGGAAGCCATCAGCAACCCTTATCAATCTTGTACTAGTTTTGAGGATCTAGCAACCTTTACCGATCTTGTACTAGTTTTAAGGATCTAGTAACCTTTACCAATCTTGTACTAGTTTTAAGGATCTAGCAACATTTATCGATCTTGTACTAGTTTTGGGGATCTAGCAATCCTTACCGATCTTGTACTAGTTTTGGGGATCTGGCAACCCTTAACGATCTTGTACTAGTTTTGGGGATCTAGCAACCCTTATTGATCTTGTACTAGTTTTGAGGATCTAGCAACCTTTACTGATCTTGTACTAGTTTTGAGGATCTAGCAACCTTTTCTGATCTTGCACTTGAGAAACTCGACAATGTCCTCTCATTGGTGTTATGGGATGCCCCTCGAATCGTCAAGTAGGGGAATGCTTAAGATGCCCTCTGTTTTAGGCTAAGACTAACGAGATGTGTGGGGCCCCGCTAGGTGAGTATTATAATGCCTCTCTAGGCATCTGCTTATGGTAGGTTTTTTTTTTAATTTTACCTTTTTTAGCTTCGTCTTTTTTAAGTTCAAAGCTTGCCTTTTTCTACTACATTTCTAAATGCTTTGGCTTTTTCTACATGTACGAAGCTTGCTTTTTTCTGTTTTATCTTTTGTTGTCATCATTGGTGGAGGGATCCTATCCCATGATGATGTTATTTGTTGAATCTTTATTGATGAGTATTATTTTGGAAGCCACTCCTAGCTTTGGTCGTGTAATCCATTCATGTAGGGTTTCTTATTCCTCCTTGGCGAGTTTTGCTCTCTTGCTGTTGAGGTGTCTTTTTTCTTGGTGGCTATATGAAACCATTTGTATAGAGTGCCCTTGTAGAGTTAGGCTTTTAACGCCTTCTTGTTGACACATGGCCTTACTTGTGATAGAAAAGAATGGCACAATCCAAGAGGGGGGGTGAATTGGATTTAATGACCCTTTAAAAATTTATCAGAGTTTTTGGATCTTAATTTCAATCAAAACTTTTCTATGACAGAATTTTCAAATAAAGCCCTCCTAAAGACTTGTTATGATGATATGAATGCAATGTGCTCACTTGATTCAACACAGTAAGGTTCAGCAATAATATTCAATTACAGATTCAAACCATCAAGATTCACATGCACTTATTAATCAAGTTTTATCTTCTTTAAAGTTCCACCAATGAATTACACAATATAAGAGATAGGGTAGAAGAAGATTGCACAAGTCTTTTATACTGGTTCAGCCACTCCACATGTGACCTACATCCAGTCCTTAATCACCACCTGATTAAGATTTTTCCACTATCTTTAAGCAAGAAGGTTTACAAGCAAACACACATGCATATACTTCACTACTAAAAGATAACCACTTTCTTGACCCCAAGAAAGCAACCCTTGTAGATCCCACTACAAGAAACTTCACCACTTGAGAACCCCTTCTCAAGATTTTCCACAAAGATTCACAAAGAATTAAAATGGAACGAATTCACCTGGAATTCTTGAACAAATCTTTGTCTTCCTCTTTCAAGAGTATGATGATGATGATGATTTCCTCACAAGCTTTTCACAAACGTTTTTCTCTTGGATTTCACAAAGAAAACTCTCCAAGATGTCACACAGACTCTCTAAAACGTTTTCACAAGTTGATTATCAGTTCTTACTCAATTGTCTTAAGTTTCAAAAGAGTTCAAGTCTATTTATAAAAGTTCAAACCCAGATAATCGATTATTTTAAAGAATAATCGATTATTTTGTTCTTCAGATTTCTGGAAATCAACCAAGAACAATTTAATCGATTATTTAGCTGGATAATCGATTATTCCAGAGAGTTGTTTTTGAAATAATCGATTATTTTGGCAAATAATCGATTATTACAGCAAGGCATGCCACTTAGCCCATTTGCTGAAATAATCGATTATATTTAACAATAATCGATTATTTTGAGTTAGTTCTTAAAATTTCATTTTAAGCCTCAAAATAACTCTCCCTACATCCAGTCCTTAATCACCACCTGATTAAGATTTTTCCACTATCTTTAAGCAAGAAGGTTTACAAGCAAACACACATGCATATACTTCACTACTAAAAGATAACCACTTTCTTGACCCCAAGAAAGCAACCCTTGTAGATCCCACTACAAGAAACTTCACCACTTGAGAACCCCTTCTCAAGATTTTCCACAAAGATTCACAAAGAATTAAAATGGAACGAATTCACCTGGAATTCTTGAACAAATCTTTGTCTTCCTCTTTCAAGAGTATGATGATGATGATGATTTCCTCACAAGCTTTTCACAAACGTTTTTCTCTTGGATTTCACAAAGAAAACTCTCCAAGATGTCACACAGACTCTCTAAAACGTTTCCACAAGTTGATTATCAGTTCTTACTCAATTGTCTTAAATTTCAAA